ATTCAGAAATTCAGAAATTCGGAGATTCGGAAATTCGGAGATTCGGAAATTCAGAAATTCAGAAACTCGAGGTTCTGAGATTCTGAGAAGCTGATTTTCTCAAAATCTAGAATTCAAAAAATCCAAAAATACTTAAAAAACGAAACTTCAAGAATGCAAAAATTCGAATTTTCCAGAAAAAAAATTTTTAAATATAAAAAATTATTCATTGAAAAAGTCGAGAAAAATCATATTTTCAGTCATATTCAACCTTCTGAAATATTAATTTTCAATTTTGAATTTTTCCTTCATTTTCACATTTTCAAATTTCTTCGTTATACCCCTTACAAAGCTAGAAAAAGTTCAAATTCCCCCATTTTTCGATATTCTCTTTTTCCCTTTTTTCTTATCTTTGAAAATCCAATAAAACCTCCCTTCTTCTCCTTTTTTTCTGAATTTTCTCATCAGAATTTGTTCAGATTTTGCTGCTCTCCGTGAGCAAACATATAAACATTCAAACAAAAAGTATATTGGAATGAGAAAAAAAAAGAATAAGAAGAAAATGAATTTTTCTTCTTCTTCTTCTTCCGAGTCAAAACGGCTCCTCGAGCATGGGAAAAAAAAGAGTACTGAGATAGTATGGAAAATAGAGAGACGCAGAGAAACGAGGGATCGAATTACAACATGAAGAAAAAGAACACAATGGATGAACAGAAAACAGAAAAATGGGGGTTTAGTGGAATTTGAGAATTTTTGAAAATATTTTTTTGTTTTAAAATTTTAGAAACCGAAAATCGGAATATCTGAGTTTCCGAACTTCTAAAACTTTGATTTTCTGGAATCTCTATATCTCTAGAAGCTAGAAAAATGAAATTCAGTTTTTCCAAATTTTGTTAGATTTGAAAAAAAAATTTTGAATTTTCGGAATTTCCAAACTCGGGTTTTTGATTTCCACATTTTGAAACTTGATTAAGATCTTTCTGAATTCCTGAATTTATGAATTTCTGAATTTCTGAATTTCTGAATTTCTGAATTTCTGAATTTCTGAATTTCTGAATTTCTGAATTTCTGAATTTCTGAATTTCTGAATTTCTGAATAAAACAATCATAACTCCTATCAAAATTAACTAAAAATCAACATCTTCATCTTGGTGCGTAGCTGTAAACCCGCCAAATTCAAAAATCCAATTTTCAAATATCTTCAAAATCACTTACCATCGCCAAAACGGCCATGAGTGCCAAGACAACAGCGGCGACGACAATAAGCATAACCATTGGGTCAGTTGGGGAATATAGTGGATTTTTTGAGACCAGTGGAAGAGAAATTGGTGGAAGAGTTGGAGCAATCGGATGGATTTCACAACTTTGACCGGAAAATCCAATTGGGCACCTGGAAAAAATTTTGGAATTAAAAAATAAAACTAAAACTTGTTAAAAAATTGAAAAAAAATTAAAAAATATTTTTCAGAACTTTCTAGACTTTCTAAAAAAATTGGGTCATCCTAAAACAAGGTCACCAGACACGCTGGCATGTTTATACAAGGGAGAAGCTCAAAGCTCCGCCCACTTTTTCAGAGAGATAGAGAGACGCAGACACATTTTTCATGTGACAATTGAAAGGGGAGAAGAGTCAAAATTGCCTTTTTTATGGAGCTTGTGGTGGCTGCTTTAGACATCAAAATGAGCAAAATACTGGAAGAGCAAATTTCGTGTTTTTTGTTGAAAAATAACTAAAAATTCAATTCTAGTTTTTGGAATAAAGATAGGTTTTTAAAAAATTTTATCACAAAGAATTTTTGAAATTTTGGAATTTTATTTGAATATTTTGGAAAAGTTATTAGCAAAAAAAAATGAGAAAAAAAGATTCATGAGCTCTCGGAGCTCCCGAGAAACGAGAAAAATCCGGAAAAAAAACTCGGGGTCTTCTGATTTCTGGTGTTCTGAGCATGTGTTTTTTCTGCTTCTCCTGTTTTCGTAGGAAAGCGAAAACTTGTTATTCTGTTATTACTCGGACTTCAAAGGGGCAAATGAAGGGATTTCGCAATATTAAAATTTGGGAAAAATTCAACTTTTTTTCTATTACAGGGGCTCTTCAATTAGAGGGGGTCATTCTGTTTTTTGAAATTTAGCGAAATTCGACGAAGTTTCGCTCAAAATTCATGAAAATCTGCCAATTTTACCAAAATTAACCAAAATTTTCATCGAGAAATAGATTGTGGAGTTTTCGGAATATTTTCCATCTGATTTCAAAACACATTTTGAATGGGGCCCTTTTTCACAGAGGGCCCTTCTATTACAGGTCGTCCTTCTATTTTTCCAAACCCCTTTCAGAGGGCTCTTCTATTGAAGGCGCCTTCTATAAAAGGAGCCCTTCTGATACAGGTTTTACAAGTTCTAATTTTTGAGAAGTTTTTTTCAAATTAAAACTTTCGAAATCACAAATCTGGAAATTAGAAATCCTTATTTCAGAAAACCTAGAAAAGTACTAATCTCAAGAATTATAAATCCTAACATCAAAACTTCGGATCTCAAATGATAATGTAACATTCTCTCGGGGGTCCTAATCTTCTCCTGATTACTCCTCTTACACAATTTTCATCCCTTCATTCTTCTAAATCTCTCATTTCAAATCTTTTAAAAGCACATTTTCGAAATCTTCCTCTTCTTTTACCTCTGCTCTCGATTTTCGAGAGAGCACAAAATTACACCTTTTTCCCGCGCTCAAGGGGTCGAGGAGGATGATATGCAACAATCGGAAAAGAGAGAGACAGACAGAGAGAGAGAGAGAGAGAGAGAGAGAGAGAGAGAGAGAGAGAGAGAGAGAGAGAGAGAGAGAGGAGCAGAGGAAGCAGCAGCTGTCAGGAAGAGGGTACCTAGTAATATGTATACTACATAATATGTGACATTTGAATGATGGGCTGGAGTTGGATAAGAGAGCGCTTACTTGTTATTGAATTCTCGGAACTATCGGAATGTTCCAAAATCTCCAAAGAAACTTCTAGAACTTCTAACAATGCTTTCAAAAGAGAACAAAAAAAATTCTGCCCCCGGTGGGGTTTGAACCAGGGCCCTTAGATCCGCAGTCACTCTTCTACCCAGTTGAGCCAGACATGCGAAAATATGTAAATAGGTCATTTCGATGTGGAATTTTGTGCTAAACCTAAAAATCATAATAAAATCTTTTGAAAATTGAATTTGAGCCCCGAAAATTCAAGAAATTCTCTAGTCGATGCACCATAGTGGTGATCCCCTTATCTTTAACCAAATCAGCTAACCAATCAGTGGGATCGATTGTAGAATTTGTGTGAAAATCCAAAAAATCCCAAAATTTAAGGAGATTTCAAAAAATTGTAGATTATTTTATCCCAAAGAGAATTCCGAAATTCAAAAATTACAAATTTTCGAAATTCTAAAAATTCGTGATGAAAATTCGCGATGAAAAAGCAAAGTATTTTATGAATTTTTGATTGCTCTCAATTTAGCTTTTTTTTGACATGAAAAACACTGAAAAACGTTTGAAAAAGAAAACAAAAAGATTTGACCCAGGTGGGGTTTGAACCCCTGACCTCTAGATCGTCAGTCACTTCTCTACCCAGTTGAGCCAAAAATGCCAAAATCGGTAAATAGGTATTTTCGATGTGGAATTTTGTACTGATTTTCAAAATGTGTGTGAAATACGCTGAAAACAGATTTTCAGTTTTGAAAATTCAAATTTCCTTTTGGTCGAAGCACCATGTTGGTGGTTCCAAAATGGCTCATTTTTGGTTCCTAGTCCCTCTAGAATACCTAAAATTGTTTTAAAAAGAACACAAAAAGGTTTGCCTCCGTTGGGGTTCGAACCCCTGACCTCTAGATCACTAGTCACCCTTCTACCCAGTTGAGCCAGAAATGCGAAAGTCGATAAGTGGGTCATTTCGATGTGGAATTTTGTGCTGAATCTAAAAGTCAAAATTAAATCTACTGAAAATTGATTTTGAGCCCCGAAAATTCAAGAAATTCTCTAGTCGATGCACCATAATGGTGATCCCCTTATCTTTAACCAAATCAGCTGACCAATCAGTGGGATCGATTGTACAATTTGTGTGAAAATCCAAAAAATCCCAAAATTTAAGGAGATTTCAAAAAATTCTAGATTATTTTATCCCAAAGAAAATTCCGAAATTCAAAAAGTACAAATTTTCGAAATTCTGAAAAACTACAACTAAAAATGAGGAGAATTAGTGGGAGACAAAAAGAAAGTGATAAGAAATCAGTGGAAAAATAGGGGAAATATATGAATAATGGAAGTGTATACTGAAAAGAGGTGCAAATAATCAGTCACTGATAATGAGTAGCAAAATTGATAAAAATTTTGGAAACAAAATCGGAAACAAAGAGAATTGTAATATTTTGTGCTGAAATTGATATATTTGAAAAATGAGGAAAAATGAAAAAAAATTGTTTAAAATTCGATTTCATTTTTTTTTTTGGTTTTTTGAATTTCTGATCCTTTAATTTCAACTTTTTCGAATTTTCAGTTTTTGAAGGCTTACCTGCACAAGAATCTGGCTTTATACGTGTCAAAAAGTGTTTGATCGGCCAAATCGTTGAATGTGATATTGAAAATTTGGCATTGAGAAATCACATTGATTCCAATTTTTGCAAATGATTCGGTCAGATTTGAAATCCCCACATTCAGGTCTACAGAGTTGGTTGGGTCTGGAAAACGTTAGTTTTGGTTTTGGGCTTCAAAACACTTTTTGAATGACAAAGTGGCCCCAAGCTGGCTTGTTTTTTGGTTCCTAGTTCCTATAGACAATCTAAAATTACTTTTAAAAAAAACAAAAAAAAAAGGTTTGCCCCGGTGGGATTCGATCCCTTGACCTCTAGATCGGCAGTCACCCCTCTACCCAGTTGAGCCAAAAATGCGTAAATCGGTAAATAGGTCATTTCGATGTGGAATTTTGTGCTGAATCTAAAATCAAAATAAAATCTACTGAAAATTGATTTTGAGCGCCGAACATTCAAAAAAATTCTTTAGTCGATGCACCATATCGGTTATCCCTTTACCTTTAACCAAATCAGCTGACCAATCAGTTGGATCGATTGAAGAGTTTGTGTGAAAATCCAAAAATGGCTCACCACCAAAACAACAAACTGCTGGGAAATGCTCCATTTCTCTGAAAATTAAAATTTTGAAACAATTGAGATTCGATTTTAAAAAATCGAAAAACTATCTGGAAAAAATATGAAACTTCGAAAACTCAGAAATTCAGAAATTCAGAAATTCAGAAATTCAGAAATTCAGAAATTCAGAAATTCAGAAATTCAGAAATTCAGAAATTCAGATATTCAGAAATTCAGAAATTCAGAAATTCAGAAATTCAGAAATTCAGAAATTCAGAAATTCAGAAATTCAGAAATTCAGAAATTCAGAAATTCAGAAATTCAGAAATTCAGAAATTCAGAAATTCAGAAATTCAGAAATTCCAGAAATTCAGAAATTCAGAAATTCAGAAATTCAAAAATTCAGAAATTCAGGAATTCAGAAATTTAGAAATTAAAAAATTCAGAAATTCAGAAATTCAGAAATTAAGAAATTCAGAAATTCAGAAATTCAGAAATTCAGAAATTCAGAAATTCAGAAATTCAGAAATTCAGAAATTCAGAAATTCAAAAATCCGAAAATCAGAAATCCGAAAATCAGAAAATTCTAAAATTCTACAATTCCAAAACTCTAGTAATTCCGAAACTTCTGAAAATGGGAAAATCTTTTTTATCTGACCGGAATATTATATTTTTCAAAAATAACACAAATAAACAAAAAATCGAAAATGTTATCAGTAACTTTTTGCACCTTGTCACATTGTTTCATTTCCAAAAACAACTATTTTCGCTGCAAAAATAGAAATAAAGAGCAAAAAATAGGTTTAAATCATTATGAGTCATTATTGTCATTTTAATGGGTTACTGTAGATTTCAAAGCTTTTCCGTTGTTTCTAATCTTGACATTTTTCAATACAAAATTTTCATCGGCTTTAATTTTTTGAATTTCCCGCCAAATTCTGTTCCAAAATCAATTTTTCCATTATTGCAGATGGTCAAAGGCTGCTTCTGCGACTGTTTCGGACCAATGGCTCGTGAGGATCCATACGACAAGCCGTTAGATCCAGAAGACGTCAAGCGATGTCTTCAGAAGGTTCGCCAGAATCAAGCGGCCAAGGTTTGTGAATGTTTCGAATTTTTATAAAATTTCGATGAGAAATAAGCAAAAAATCAGTTTTAACGGACTATATTTTGAGTTCTGATTTTTTTTTGAATTTTTGAATTTTCAGAAATGCGGAATTTCAGAACTTTCTGGAATTCTCAATTTTAAAATTTCTCAATTTTTGAGCCTAAAAGTTTCCAGGAAATGGCTCGTGAGCCACTGGTCAGCCATCCACCACCACCAAGTGCTCCGCCACCAATGGTCTCCGAAT